ATTGAAACCTATAAATAACAATCTCCCCATTTTTGATGATGACAAAAATAATATATATATTTATAAATAATAGTTGACTTCCCTATAGTTCCTGTAGCCGACTCCCCCTTAATGAGTGTTGCATAATTCAGTCGACTCCCCCTCAACAAATGCTGCTTACTTTTGTTGACTGTGCGAACGATTATGTTCTTTAGTCGACTCCTGCAATGTACCTGCAATGTACAGTTCTTTCCCCTCTTTTTTGACATCAACAAAGAAGGGATATACATATACTAAAACAAGCAATGTAAAGACCATCACATCCTATGCAATCATTATAGATACTAAAGTAGGCATTATAGAGATGCATAGTTTTAGGAGAAATAAGTAAAAGTATCCAACAAGTGGCTATCCAATCCAAAACAGCAAAACACAAAAATATTATTTTAAACTTCCACAACTAGTGACACATGAAGTAAGTAAGAGTGTTGCAAATCGCCTCCTTCATTCGTTCAAAGCTGGCATTGGCTGAAACTATCACCCCATCAATCTTGCCACTCACTTTCTTGAATGCTTTGATTGCATTTTCTCGAAGTCTGAGAATTTTAACCCTCATCTTTGAAACATCAGACCCTATCTCCTTGGAGATTGTATGGATGTCCCCAACAGTGGACTGAGTGGTAACAAGAAGATCTTTGATGATGGCCAGCTTCTTGTCAATGACACCCAATTTCTCAGCAAGATCAGGATCACTTACATTGTGATGAGAAACAAAGGCTTTGATCATGGGATCAGGTTGAACGTTCTTGACTTCACCTTCTTGTTTCTTCACCTAGGAGCCCTTTGCACACACATAACCTATACTATCAAAAGCTCTAGAATTGTAGGATTTTGAAACAGAGACATAAGAGTATTCCGAGATAGAGATGTTGTGGGCTTCCAAGATGTGAGTGATACTATACCATAAGGCAAACTGATGGGATCATCAGGACTTTCTATCATGAAATTTATGACCCAAGGGGATAATTTAATCTTGAGTTTGGTTACAAGACAATAAACAAGAAAGGTATCTCGTTGAGAAAAGGTATAGAATGATCCAGTACGAGGAAGAAGAGTGGTTGCAACAATGTGGGCCAAAACTTGGGTTTCAAATCTAACATCACTGGGATCTAACTTGTTAGGGAGGAATCAGATGGACACTCAACAATAAAACGTTTTACTTCAAAAGAAATTTCAAAGTCATCAGGACAAGTATTCTTGAAAAGCATGGGAAAACCAGAACACTTATACTGAAAAATTGAGTCGAACACAACCAAGAAGAATGTGTTCACCTAAAACTAGGGATTCCAACTTATCAGATTTGCTAGAGTGAAGATTTGCATAAAACATTCTCACTAAGGGTTCATAGACTTTGGGAGGGGATACAGAGAGGAATTTTGACCATCCTTAAAAGACAAACATATCATTTACCTTGCAATTGGGAGCCTCCATGTCCTCAAGGACGAATTCTCTGCCATGAGCAATGGGCTTGTCTCTTAGAGCAACAAAGAAATCCCTATTCGGGTATCCCAGAAATTGAGGTCTGACTCTAGAGAACTCGAGAGGTCTATTTTGGATTTCTTGGGGGTTCCATAGGCCTTTTTCCTAATGCTTTTTCTCCTAAGTGATAAAAGTGATCTGATAGTTCTGCCTGAGAAGAGGCAAAACCTTCTGAGCGGTCAGACCCTAGGTCTACTGGTTCTGATGGCTGAGAAGAGGGTTTTTCCTTGGAGCGAGTACTTTTTCTAGTGGAGACAAATGGATTTTTGGAGTGTTTAGCCATGGAAAGACTGTTGGGAAGGAGTTTGAAAGGTTTCTGAAGAGGGTTTATGAGCGATAGGAACAATGGAGACTGAGACGAGTGGTTTAGAGATTAAAAAAGGAATTTTGATGGTTGAGTGCGGGAAAGGAAAGGGTGTCAGTGAAAGGTCATAATGATTGATTTTCCTTTCTTGAAAGCTACAACTGATGGAAAAAGAGAGGGAAATCGGAGGCGCTAATTTAATGAGTACTTACACAAACAAACAAAATTAAAAATATTAGGCATACAAGAATTAAAAATATCAAATACGTCCTAATTTTTATGATCAAGAGAAATAATACCAAGTAGTTTTCTTAGAGAGAAAAATCTATCTTCAAGTAAAGGCTTAGTGAAAATATCTGCTAGTTGATCAGTAGTGCCAACAAATAATAATTCTATATCTCTCTTGAGGACATGATTTCTAATGAAATGATGTTTGATGTCTATATGCTTAGCCCTAGAGTGATGCACATGCTTCTTTGAAAGACATATAACACTAGAGTTATCACAGAATATTTGAATAGGTTAAAAAAATAATTCATAATCACCCGTTGTTGAGACATCCATAATAAATGCGCACAATATTGTCCAATGGCGATATATTAAGCCTCCGTTGTGGATAGTGTAACTGATCCTTATTTTTTTATTGTTCCAAGATATTAGTGCCTTTCCAAGTAATTGACATGTCCCGCTAGTGCCTTTTCTTTTTTCCTTATCACCTACAAGATCAACATCTGAAAAACCATCTAGTTTAAAACTGTTCGAACGTGGATACCATAGTCCGTAAGAAATAGTTCTAATGAGATAATGAATTATCCTTTTTGCGGTAGTCATATGCGACTCCTTAGGAGCTTACTGAAACCTGGCACATTTACAAACACTAAACATAATATCTGATCGACTGGCAGTTAGGTAAAGTAAAGAGCTAATCATTCCACGATTTTTGGTTTCAACAACAGGATTTCCCTTTTCATCCTTGTCAAGACTTGTTGATGGACTCATTGGTGTACCAATAGCTTTAGCACTATTCATACCGAACTTCTGAATTAGCTCCTTTGTATATTTTGTCTGGCATATAAAATTTCCTTCGTCAGATTATTGAATTTGAAGTCTAAGGGAAAGCGTGAGCTTTCCCATCATACTCATTTCAAACTTACTTTACATAAGATTAGCGAATTCCTCCCACAAAAGAGGGTTAGAACTACCATAGATAATATCATCAACGTAAACTTGAATAATATGATTACCTTCCGATGATCTTTTGATAAATAGTGTAGTATCTACTTTACCTCTTATAAATTTGTGATCAAGTAGAAATGAGCTAAGTCTTTCGTACCATGCTCGTGGAGCTTGTTTAAGTCCGTACAATGCCTTAATCAACTTATACACATGGTAAGGAAATTTTGAGTCTTCAAAAATAGGAGGTTGTTTTACATATACCTCCTCATCAATGAAGCCATTTAAGAATGCACTTTTGATATCCACCTGAAAAAGTCTAAATCTTTTGAAGTATGCGTACGCAAGAAGAATTCGTATTGACTCTAGTTAAGTTACTGGAGCAAAGGTTTCATCATTGTCAACTCCTTCCTATTGTGAGTACCCTTGAGCTACTAATATAGCTTTGTTTCTAACAACCTTTCCATCTTTATTGACCTTATTTCTGAAAACCCATCTTGTTCCGATGACGGTATCATCTACAGGCTTAGGCAATAATTTCCACACTTGGTTTTTGTCAAATTAATCCAGTTCTTCCTGCATTTCTTGTACCCAGCTTGAGTCTTTTAGAGCTTCCTCTATCTTCTTTGGTTCAATTTGAGAGATTAGTGCTATATTTTTCTTTTTTTATTGAGAATTCCCCTGATTTTCATTCTTTCACTTGGATCTTCTATGATAAACTTTTGAGGATATTCTGGTTTACTTTTCTATTCATTTGGACGTGTTACACTCGTATGAGTAGTTGACTCCTTCTGTGATTCTGTTTGACTGTTGTTAGGCTCATTAGTTGACTTTGTGACACCGTCTAGACCGTCAATCGACTCTTGGGGTTTGCTTGACTGAGGTGTTTCTTGATTGAGATCTTCATCAATTGCAATAATTCCTTTCTCGGTCGTAGTGTTATTTTCATCAAATATAACATGTACTGATTCTTCTACAGATAGAGTACGTTTATTATAAACTCTAAAAAATCTACTGTATATGGAATAACCTAGAAAAATACCTTCATCACTTCTTGGATCAAATTTTCCAAGATTGTCCTTACCATTGTTGTGGATGAAACACTTGCTGCCAAACGGATGGAAATAACCTATGTTGGGTTGTTTACCTTTAAATAGTTTGTATGGAGTTTTCTATAAGATAAGTCTTATGAGACATCTATTTAGAACGTGGAAAGTTGTGCTTACTGCTTCTGCCCAAAAGTGATTAGGCAAGGAATATTCTATTGTCATAGTTCTTGCCATATCTTGCAAAGTTCCACTTTTCTGCTCAACTACTCCATTCTGTTGGAGTGATCTTGGAGTTGAGAAGTTGTGGGTGTATCCTTGATCATTGCAGAAGTCTTCAAATGCTTTGCTTTCAAATTCTCTTCCATGATCAGTTTGAATGGTCGTAATAAGGTACCTCTTTTCTCTATCAACTATTTTACACAAGATCTCAAAGTTTTTCAATGCTTCATCTTTGTGAGATAGAAAATCACCCATGTAAAACGTGAGTAGTCATCAACAATAACAAAAGCATATCGTTTTTCTCCTGTGCTAGCAGTTCTGGTGGGTCCAAACAAATCCATATGAAGCAATTGTAAAGGCTTTGATGTAGACACAATGTCTTTGTTTTTGAAAGAGTTTCTGGTTCATTTACCGAACTGACATGCATCGCATATATGATTTCTAGAAAAATTGAGTTTAGGGAGAGACCAATAACTAAATCATGTCTGGAGAGTTTCTCTATAAGATGCATACTTGCATGTCCAAGTTTCTTATACCATAACCATGGATCATCAGATATGGATGCTAGGCAAATGTGACCATCTAGAGTTTCAAAACCATCAAGTGTATAAACATTTCTATACCTTTTTCTTAGGAGGATTATTTTACATGTCTTATCTTCAATTGCACAACCTGTTTTCTTGAACTTTACTTTGTACCCTAATTCACATAGCTGACTTATACTCAGGAGATTGTAGTTAAGTCCAAAGATAAACTTCAGTAATATCACAATTGTTATTGAATGAAACTGTGTCAGTGCCGACTATCTTCCTTTTTGAGTCATCGCCAAATTTAACACTTCCTCCATTTATGTTTGTAACTTCTTTGAACAGATTTTTGTCACATGTCATGTGACTGGAACACGCACTATCTAAGTACCATTTTTCTTTGTGGCTCTTCCTGTGGTGTTCCTGCAAAACATAATTATCACTTTCTTTTAGGTACCCAAGCTTGTTTGAGTCCTTGTTGGTTAGTTTTACTAAGATCAGGGTTGTTTTTGGGTTTCCAAATCTACCCTAAAATATTAGATTTACAAAATTGATAGAAGAAATATTTATGTCTACTTTTATTACAGTAGTGACACATAGGGACTGATCCATTCTTAGATCTTCCACTTGTGTTAGTACTAGTGGACTTTTTTCTAGCTGGTCCTTTTCCAATTGACTTGTAAGTCGCCTGGTTAGACTTGACAAAACTGTAACTGGTGGATTTGCGCATGTCATTGAGTTGAATTTGCAATTCCTGAACTTTATCTTGAAGTACCTCCTTTTCAATTTCACATACTTCAAGCTTGAGTTCCCAGTCTTTCTTTTCCTTGTTGAGTCTCCTTAGTCCATTCATCATTTTTTGAGACTCTTTTAGAGTAAGGTCAAGAATTTCCTGCAGTTCATTATATCTTTCACAGTTATAAGATCTTATCCCGCTAATTTCACCTCATGCCATGAAACAATTCTCATTATCATATTTGCATTCATCGTCTGATGCATCTTCATCTGTCCAGCAACCTGAGAGTTTGTTCATGTCGTTTTCCAAGATTGTTATGAAGCATAGATTTACTATCTCTTCGTGTTCCGAATTGTCTTCATCACTCTAGATTCCAAATGATTTGTTCTTGTTGAACCCTCTGGAAACCTTTCTTTTAAGATCTGGGCATTCAGCTTGAACATGCCCATTTCTTCCACACTCGTAGCATTTTCCATCATTTTTGTCTAGTTCATTATATTGCCTGGTTCGCCTGGGTGGTATCCTACCTCTTTTTGTGTTTCTATATCTCCTCATCAAACCATCCATGTTCGTTGATACTATGGTAATCTCTTTTTCAAGAGCTTCAGGGTCGTCATCAATATCATTTTCTGTCCTTTCAGTTGTAGCCTTGAAGGCGACTGTTTTCTTCTTCTCTTCATGGCTTGTTTTCTTGAGGTGAGTTTTCTCGAATGCTATAAGATTTCCTCGAAGCTCATCATAAGATAGTTTATTTAAATCTTGTGATTCAAGTGCAACTACTTTTGTTTGCCAAGTGGTAGGTAGACTCCTCAGAATTTTCCGAACTTTAATACCACTTGAGTATGGTTTGCCAAAAGCTTTTACATCGCTAATGATTTTGCTGAACCTCGCAAACATTTCTTCAATGGATTCTCCTTCTTTCATTTGGAAAAGTTCGTAGTCATGAACCAACATGTTGATGTGAGTTTCTTTTACTTTACTGGTTCCTTCATAAGTAACTTCTAGTTTATCCCACATTTCTTTGGTTGTATCACAACTAGAAATTTTCTCATATTTGTCTCCATTTATAGCATTATAGAGTAAGTTTCTTACTTTAGCATTGATTTGAACAACTGCCATTTGCTCGTTTGTGCACTCGTCTATATCTTCTGGATCAGTAGGTGGTTGAGCAATTGTTGGTACTGGATAGTTTCCTTTTTTGATAACTTGCCAAACTTTGACAACATAAGATTTTGCATATATTTCCATACGCACTTTCCAGTGAGAAAGGTGTTACCCATTGAAATACGGTGGCCTAACTTGTGATGTCCCTTCTTAAAAGAGTGCTCCAACAATACCTTGATTTGCCATGATCTTTTTTCACAAGTTGTTAAGCAAATGTGTGAGACTAGCTCTGATACGAATTGAAAGTACAAGGGGGGGGGGTGTGAATTGCTAATTTAAAAAAACTTTTATAAGTAGTTGACTAGTTTACCAATTAGTCGACTGGAAATAAGAACAGGATAATAGTAAATGCAGAAATAAAATGCAGGAAATAAAGACACCAAATTTTTTATATTGGTTCGGATGCAATATGTATCCTAGTCCAGTCCCCTTGGATTGTAAGGGTGTTCTCTTTCAATGATCGATATTTCTTGAATACAAAATGGATGATGTAGTTTTACGCCAATAGCTTAATCTCTATGTCTCTTTTCTTTTCTTGATACAATGTCTCACTAGTGTTTATCTTTTTTTCTTCTCTCACTAATTATACAACAAATCTAACAAAACTATAATGCTTGTTTGGAGTAGAACAAAAAGAGTAAAGATGGTTCGTTCAAAGTATGTTCTTTTCAAGTCCGAAACATCTATATATATACTTTCCATGTGGCCTTCGAGAATCTTCAGAGATTGCGAACTCAAGGAAGTTGATCCTTAAAAGGAATCATAGATTGATTATTTCCAAGAATAAGGTCAAGTTTCCGTTGATCTTCCTTGATTTATGGTCTTGGCGTGCTTTCCATCCGTTAGGCATATCTTTGTGTTACTTGAGGCGTATCCGCTGGATCCCTCAATTTCTGGCTTCATTGGTTTTCAATGATCCCGTTCCCCTTTGATTTGGGGCCTTCCAATAATAGTTTCTGTCAATCTTCGATTAAATATTCTTGTCGGATCTTTGCTGCTTCTTCCATTTTTATTTCTGATCATTGATTCTTTTCCTTGTTTGCTTTTGGACCCTCCGTTAATAGATTATTTCCTTGATCTATTCCTGACTGTTCTTGAATCCCTTTAATTTATTCCTTGTGATCCTATACCAAATGTAATATATTATTTTTCATTATTGAAACCTATAATTAACAAATCCTATGCAGTAGGTCGTGGTTTTTACACCTTTTGAGCAGAGTGATTTTTCACATAAAATTGTTGTATTTACTTTTCTGCTTATTTTACTTCACGTTTAAGGAAAATGTAAGAACCAAGTTATTTAGTAGTTCATAAGGACACTCAAATTAATAGTTAGAGTATATGCCGGGGCAGGTTAAATTAATTTTTTTTTTAAAATCAGGCGGGTGCAGGGTGGATGGCGGATTGGTGTTCCGAATCTTACATCTTTTCTTTGAATTTGGTGGATCTATCATTCCTTTGCAGATCGTGATTCCAATCCCCATTCTGCTATGTCAATTATGGCTAATATTTATATGAATTGTTGCATACTATATTGCAATTCTATTTCTATTGTCCTAATATCACGGTATGAAGACTCTGTAACGGAAGTTTATAAACCTCAAGTACAATTTTGACAAATAACTGAGGAAGAGGAAGATTTAAATTGCCAATAACATATTCTTCCTCTGTTTCAAAAAGATTGGCACTATTTCTTTGTTAGTCCTTTTCAAAAATATTGACATCTTCCAATATTTTCTTATTGGGCTACCCTTTTTACACTAGTTTTTCAAGGTTAGAGACTTTAGGGAGAGAATTTGCGAGACATAAGTGCTAGGCTGCTACTTGTATAAACCTTTTGCAAGTAAACTTTATCAAATTTTTCTTTCGATATTTTTATACATTCTTTTATATTATATCTAAAATGGTGGATTACTCAGCTTTATGGAAGTATGTCTGATTGACCGAGCCATGTAATCTTTGTGTCTCCTAAGGTATATTTCCATTTATCGTCTAATTTTCCATCGTTCAGAGCATGCTTTATCAATTTCTTCATATTCTCCTGATTTCAATTCTAACAGGGTGGCTTGAGTAAATCAAATATGTTTACCCCTAAAAAATGGATAACAATTAAATTTATAAATGGTTTTAAAGATACATGAATTTATTCAATACAAACAGTAAACATTGCTAGGATAAACAGATAAGAGATGTAATAAATTATCAAAATCGCTTGAAAATAAGAGGGGGTGATTTCGGACTCGAGGTCATCCTTAATGAGGTATCCGTCTTCGATCCCAGGCTTATAATAATGAAACACTAATCAACAAATGTAAGAGCTTTGAATAATAGAAAAATAATAATATATTACCTTGGTATGTGTGTTACAATGTGTTCAATGAATAATCGGACTCCCCTTTATATAGTAGGGGAGTTTTATCGTAAGTACAATTCTATAAAAGGTAAAAAAAATTCTATTTAACTAATCACCGATTTTCTATCGATACGTACCGAGATCCACGCCATGATATTCGGCCGGTCACGGATACTACGGACTTTTGTTAATCGTGTTTGATTGCCTGATAATGTCCTCTGATGTTTTTTGGGATTTGGACCGATCTGGGTCATGGCGCCGATATTCTCGAGGGCTCTTTGTTTAGGGTTTAGGGTTAAAGGTTTTACCTCCCTCTTTGTTCTCAAATTTGCCTTTACCCTTGTCTTCTTGAGGTCTAGAAGAAATCTACATCTCTTGATTTGGCCATGTCTTCTTGGAGATGGTGTTTGACCGACCTTTCCACGAGCTAGTTTGCTTTATTTTATTTTGGTTTTATACCTTTACAAACAAATCAACTAACTCATATATTGTTACATATTGTTGTATCTACTACATCAACTATTTCCTTATCTAAACCATTTAAAAATCTAGCCATTGTAGCCTCTCCATCCTCCATACAATTAGCTTGGATTATAGCCATATTCATAGCCTTAAAGTATTCATCCACAAACATGGACCCTTGCTTCAATGTTTGAAGAAGTTATTGTAGCTCTCTTTGAAAGTGTGATGGCACAAATCTCTTCCTCACCACCCTCTTCATCCCAGTCCAAGTAGAAATTGGTGCTTGTCCTTCTTGCAATCTGTCCCTAGTAAGTTTTTTCCACCAAATAGCAGCATAGTCAGAAAACTCAACAACAACAAGTTTAACCTTCTTACATTCAGAGTAGTTATGACAGTCAAATGGCTTCAACCTTTCTCTCCCAATTAAGATACAAGTCTGGATCCCTTGTTCCCTTGAAAGATGACATCTTCATCTTTATACTACTTATATTATCATCTGCTACTCTACCTCTTTGTACCCTCCTATCTCTTCCCACCCTATCAAAATCAATATCATCAAAGTCATCTATAGTGTTTTCTTGATTTACAATGGGAGCAAGGGGTACATTTCTCCTATCTTGGGGCCTAACATTATTTTCCCTCCTAAGTTCAGCTATTGTATCATTTTGCTCAACAATGGTGTCCCTCATTTCTTGGAATTGGAAATTCCACCTTTCTAATTGTTGATGCATAGCTTGCAAGGTAAAATCATTTCTTGCTTTGATTTCGGCTTCTTGGAGAACCCTTTGTTCATCTCCACTACCTGTATGTGACATCTTAAATTAAATAATTAATTTCCCTCAATTGTTCTCACACACACTTGCCTTTTTTCCTCTCGAAATAACCTTTGAACAAAATACTTTGTAGATTTATAGTTAATCCCAACTCGTATAAAATTTTTAGTAGTAAAAAATAGATTTTTGGGGAACGAACGAAAGAAGAACAAAATCCTAAAATAAGTAGGCTCGGTTGAAACAAGACATGAAGAAAAAAGAATTGATTATATATTTAGATCAGAAAGAGTAAGAAAAATTAAATTTTTTCTTATCTTTGAAATCTAGGTTCTCCTCTTCTTGTTTCCTTTGTTAATATTTGGAAATAAATTAAAATACAACATAAATTTCTTGGAGAGCAAGCAATTCTTTTTTTAACTTTTTTTAAGTTACTATTCACGATGCTACAGTAATATTTTTTCTGCTCTTAGTATTCACGAAATCCTAAGAATTATCAAGAACAAAATCTTGATATAACCGCTCTGCTACCACTTAATAACAGCAAGGTCGAGAATCCAAACTAGAGTAAGAATTTGAGAAGTAAAGGCGGAAGCAATAACAATAATGAATTGAACAACTAGAATTAAAGTGCAGAAAATAAAGGATATGGAAAAATTCAAGGAAAGAATTCCAAGAACTTCCAAGAATACAAGTTCTATAGCCTTGACAAGATCCAAGCAACAATATTTTGATTTATTGAAGAAATCAAACTCCTTTACTTAAGAACAAATCAAAAACAATAGATTGATCTTGACAGATTTACGAGTAACTTGAGACAACAAAATAACTAGTATTAATCGCCTTCTAGGAATACCACTAAAGAATCAATGATATCACAATAAAGAAGTTATCTTACTACCTTGAACTATGAACTAGTAAAGGTTGAAAGATAAATTTCAAAGCATAAGTAACAAAGGTTCAAAAGAACTCTCAAAATATAATATTATTAATCAATAATGAAATACCACAATGAATGAAAAGAACTCCTATTTATAGGAGTAAAAAGTCCTTAAAACTAGGTAGGGTGGCTGTCAAGGCAAACCCTAACTTGGAGGCTAAGCTAAATACTAGAAAACCTAATAACAACTAATAAAAATAAGAGGGTGGGTGGCCAAATACCTTTGGGTCAAATTTGGGACTTAAAATTACTAGTTTGGGCCATTGGTTTGGACTCCAATTGGGCTCCTTTTGAAACACCCCCCTTTTTTAAGATTATTTTAAGCTCTTTTAGGTGCCCTTTTGGTGCACTTCAAGGACTGATTTTGGGACCCAATCTTCCTTCTCTTGGACTTCAATTTGGGCCACCAAATAATTATAAAACTTGGACAATTCATCTCCTTTGGGCTTGAGTTCTTCCACTATAATTAAAAGCTTCTTTATTTGCCATTGAAGTCCAACAACTTTAGTCTGTAATTCTTTAGCTTGAGATCTTGTAAATAGCCTTCTTAGAGCTTCAA